GCCTGCCGTTGCAATTGGAGAGAATGAGCATACCTTTCTAAAATCCAACCCTTTTTGTTGTTGTTTTCAACACGCCCTTTTCGCTGCAAGAATTGGTGATTTAATTTTCCTAGGTCGACGGTGATTGTATTGTGAGGTAGCAAGTATTACCGCTTGAAACGATACACGACATCTTAGCACTCTTAGGAGTTCAGGAAGACCCCATCTAATACACATACGATGAGTTTACTGTTACGCAGATCTAAATAATACTGTTCGTAATTTATTTGGCATATCTGTGTCTGGAGTGTGTGTTGTGTAGTCTTGCGTAATCTGTCAATTCTAAAGATAGACTTGCCCCTGAGATTATCGTTGAGTCAGCTGCTTTGATGCTATTCACTTGCACGCCTGTGCCGGGTCACTCTCCACCGCTCCGAAATAATGATTGTCAAACTTAGTCATAGCCCTATCCACTCGTTTAAACCCTTCTCGAATTTCGTCCTCAGTAATGATCAATGGAGGGCAGCACTGAGCGAAGTTACCCCGGAATACACCTATCACCCCCTGTTCTAATAATAGGTTCTTCAACAAACCGATCTCCGCGGTCTGCTCGTGCATCTGCATCATGTAGTTGCCGTCTCTGCCGCACAGATCAAACCCTCCCGCCAACCCCACAACACGCCCCGCTTTGATAGACGGGTGCTTCTCGACTAACTGCTGCATCTCTTCCTGCATAACCACACTCATGGCCTGTACGTGTGTACACAAATCAATGTCTAAGATGTGTTTTACGGTCGCATACGCAACGGCACAGGACAACGGATGGGCCGAGTATGTGCTCCCATAACCCGTGGGATTAGACTTGTAATGGTCCAGAATGGGTTGGCGAACCCCAATGCCACTCAACGGTGCATACGCCGCCGTGGAGCCCTTCGCAAAGGTGAACATATCCGGAACAACCCCTTCAAAGTGCTGGTAGCCGAACATAGTGCCTGTGCGTCCGAAACCGGTCATGACCTCATCGATTACCATGAGGATACCGTACTGATCGCACAGCGCACGCACACCTTGCATGTAGGTAGGGTGCGGCATGAGCCATCCGTTGGACCCGGTAATGGACTCCACGTGGATGGCTGCGATGGTGTTCGACCCTTCTGCGAGGATCTGTTCGTGCAGAGCATCCAGGCATTTCTGCGTAAGGGGAAAGAACAGGGTTATAAAGTGAGAGACTGCACACGTAGAAGTGTGTGCTACAAGCTGTGCTAACGCGAGTGTGAAATGCAGTACGGCTTTTGATACAGATACATATGTATACGAACATGGAAACTCACTTGACAAACGTATGCGAGGGCTATCTGATGTTCACGACAAGATGTCATGTAATTAAGTAGTCAGGTATGTTAGGTGTAGACATGCATGTACTACAAAGTTTCCTCATGGCTTACGTATCCATAGGTTAGTATCTCTAAACAAAAGGAATGTTTGCACTCGCATAAAGATAGTCTCCATGTGTAGACATACACATTTATATATCAAATATGTGCAATGCGGATATATAATGATATTTTTTTATATATGTTGCTATTCTTCACCACATATATTTGAGCATGCCATTTTGATGCTATGAGCTTAAAAGGACCGTATGCCAGAAATTCTTCTCAACACACGCAAAAAACTACTGTGACAGGCACTGATATGTATCGGCAGATGACAGTCTACAACCCGAAGCAACACGTGTATATAAAGCTCGTATTGCGCCTGCCTATACGAATCCACAAAGATCTTAAATGACATATCGTCACGAGAATACTATGATGGAGCTATCCCAGAGAAACAAAAAGTGGATGCTCCTGAATAACCATATCGACACCTGTCCATGCACGTATACCAATGAGCCTGACTGATCCAGAAACACGAAAATCCATGGAGACACGAGGCTCCTATAAGACAACAAACCGCCACGACTACTGTAATATAGATATCACACTCACTTCAGCAGCGGCCTGCGGATTGGCGTCCCACTCAAAATTATAAGGACAGGGGTCCAACATCTTCACAAACCCTACGGAGAAGGGGTCAGTCACCCACTTTCTAGGGTCACCCGTGAGGTTGAGTGTAGAAGTAGTACCTCCGTGGTATGATCGGTAACGGCTCATGATTTTGTTCCTACAGAGTGTTTGGAGAGGTCAAGGCGAAACACTTGGGTTATGTACGATGTCAAGGCATATGTATATGTATATGTATCTGTATCTGTATCCATGTATACGTATGCATGCATGTATGGATGTATGCATGAAAGAATGTATGTTTTTGTGTGTGCGTATGCATATATAT